GGGTCGTGTGAGCCGTGGGGGGCTCTGGGGGTGGCTTCGGCTGTCTCTGTGGCCGCTTCCCCTCTGTGGCTGCTGTCGCTGTGGCTCTCTCTCTCTCTCTCTCTCTCTCTCTCTGGGCATGCGGCCACTCGGGACGACGAGCCTGCCGCGGGGCAGGCGGCGCCAACTTTGGCCTGAGCGGCCCCTGTGGCCGCTTCCCTGGGTGTGCCCCCCACGGGCTCCCTCGCAGGGCAGGCGGCCAGTCGGGGTGCGACCGCAGGGGGTCGTAGGGGCCGTCGGGGAGGGCGCGGGGTCGTGGGGCCGCCGTGAGTGTCGTGGGGCAGACGGTCGTGGGGTAGAGGCTCCTGGGGGTCGTAGAGTAGTAAGCGTCATAGCCACACGCTGGGATGACGGGCGGCAGCAGGAAGGCCTCCTTGTTGCCGTCTGGCTCTAGCGTCTGCGGACAAGTAGCCGGTTGGCCTGGCCGTGGCGGGTACCTCGATGACGATGTAGCTGTGGTTGGTGACGCTCGTCGGATTGCCGAACTGTTTCTCGGCGACTGGCTGGTTCGGTGCGCGGTCGATGCAAGCGAATAGGTGTCCCAAATCTTTGAAATATAAGTGAGTACGGTGTGTTCGAGGTGGGAATCCAATCCTATTGAATGCCTTCACTTTGTCCGCTTCGCAGTGTTTAGCCGCTATGGAAGCGGGGATAGCAATGAGAAACATGCGAGAAAGCCATCGCCAGCGGCCTCTGAAATGTACTTCAGGATATGTCTCGATCGCGGGCGCCCGATACCCACCTGAGGGCTGGTCGCCGCACTTGGCAGCAGCACGCGCCTGAATCGTTCGGGCGGGCCGCGGCTCCCTGCTCCACCTCCCGTCCTCCTCCTCCTCCTCCTCCTCCTCCTCCTCCTCTTCCTCCTCCTCCTCCATTCCTTTTCCTTGTGAACAACTTTTCCCTGTCGCACCCCGAGGCCAGTTTTTAGGGCGGGCCGGGCGCTTCGACTGGATTCCTCACCATGTATGCCTCTGAAGCTCAGAAAATTGCAGCAGCTTCACGGATTGAAGGCGGGCCGTTCTCAAAATGTGGCTCTCGCCTTAGCGCCGCGCACGTTCGTTTTTAACAATTGCAAGACCTCCACGGATTGAGGGCGGATCGTTTTCAAAATGTGGCTCTCGTTTTAGCGCCGCGCACATTCTTCTTTTCAAAAAATGCAAGAATTTCGCGGATTGAAAGCGGCTCCTTTCCAACATGTGGCTCTCGCCTTAGCGCCGCGCGCATCCATTCTAAACATGTGCAAGAGCTTCACGGATTGAGGGCGGGTCGTTCTCAAAATGTGGCTTTCGCCTTAGCGCCGCGCACATTCGTTTCAAACAGTTGCAAGACTTTCACGGATTGAGGGCGGGTCGTTTTCAAAATGTGGCTCTCGCCTCAGCGCCGCGCTTTTTTTGTTGAGCAAATGTCATAATTTCGCGGATTGAAGCCAGTTCCTTTTCAACATGTGGCTCTCGCCTTAGAGCCGCGCACACTCGTTTCAAACACTTGAAAGAATTTCACGGGCTCCCATGATCAACGTACCAGGAGTGGTGCCTCGGAACGGTTCAGGATTACGCGGGCGCAGAAGTCATGTTGAGTCGCGGTGTCGAAGTCCCGAACAATGCGCTCTAGCACGACTACGGCTCGTCAAGACGCAGCAGTCAGGTTGATCCGCGACTTTGACATCCCGAGAACACTGTTTTGGCATGGTTCATGATGTTCAAACGATTGTCTTCCACCGAGGCAGTTTCCTCAATGCAATGGACATGAACCGTTGTATGGGCCTATGAAGAGGGAGCTTGGAGGGAGGGTTAATTCCAGCATCGTTGATGATTATTGGGTTTACACTGGTCCTCCTCCTCCTCCTCCTCCTCCTCCTCCTCCTCCTCCTCCCTCTCCTCCTTCTCCCCCTTCTGACGCCAACACGAGAAGGTTGAAGCAACGTGGAGGTGGGTTCGGGCCCCTCTCCACGGCCGCACTCGTGGGCCGAAGGATGGCCTTGTCCGGACGTCCCAAATGCTGCCTGGAGGCATCCAGCACCCCCCTTCGCGTGCAGGCGTCGCGGTAAACAACAGGACGGGCGTTCGCGCCCCGGGCCCAGGCCCAGGGGCCCTCACGGATGGACGCAGCTGGGGAGACCGTGCAGAAGGGCTTGGGCCGATATAGCTCAGGTCGCAATCTTTGCGCTTCCGTGATGCCGGCCTCCTGAGCCGTCTTCTGGGTCCCAGGGACATCACGACGCGATCTGGGTGGTAAAACTCATCCTTCGGGAAGAGGTCCAGAGCTCCGGGGCTCACGTATTGAACAACTCACGACGTCTGACGTCTGGGTACCGTTCCCAGCAGCTTCTCTAACGCACCGCAGGCAGCCATCGCGAAGCGCGCGGAGCGAAGAAACCCAGGCTACCCTTGAGAGAAGCAACTGGTTTCTTCTTGCGCACCCCCACGGTATCCCCTCCACCTGCCTCATCCGCTCCTCTCCTTGCTGCCCGCTCTTCCCTTCGCCCGCCTCCCGCCCTCACCCGCCTGCTCCTCCAGCCTCCGAGGCAGTAGCCTAGCTTCGCGCCTCGCGCCGCGCGGCGCGTGAATGTCTTAGCACCCTCGCGCCCTCGCGCCGCCCCATTGGAGAAGGGCAACCGTTCTGACACAGACCGCGACGCGCGAAGCGCGACTGTCCTCGCACCCCTGCGGGTGACCTCTGTGGGCCTCCCTCTGGCCTCCCTCTGGCCTCCCTCCCCCGCGGGTGACCTCTGTGGGCCTCCCTCTGGCCTCCCCACCCTCTGGCCTCCCCCTCTCTGGGCGCCCCCCTTCCAGCCCCCTCGGGGGCTCCCCTCCCGCTGAAGGGCAACGTCAGTGTGGGGACCAGCTCAGGGGGGGGGGGGGGCCACATCCGCTTGGGATCGGTAATACGTCGCCGATAGATCGTAGGCCCCCCGATAGGGAAACCGCATGGTCCGGGCTTTTGGGCCCCCCATCATCGGAGATTCATGGGCGATTCGGGATCGACCCCCCCCCCTGAGCCTACCCATAAGGAACGCAGAATGAGGAACTGAAGCGCTTCTCTGGCCACGGCGGGCTTCGGCCACACACAGGTTCCACAACACAGATCCAAGGAAAGGCCCGACAACCCGAGCCCGATGCGGTCTTTACTTCAGCGTGTTGACTGCATCCACCCCTAACTTCGCCCCCTGGCTCTCGGGTCTCGGGCCATAACTCGGCTCTCCGGCGGCCGTTCGGGACGATCCGGGCAGCCCAGGAACGCCCTCGGGGAGGCACAGCTGCTGGAAGGCATCCCGAGGCTGAACAACCGCCGCAAATAAAAGCAAGCGTTCGGAAACCTCGAACCTCGAACCTGACCCCTCCCCTAACGTTGCCCCCGACCCATGCCCCGCTGCCCCGCCCACGGAGCGCCGGCGCGTGGCGGCCTGAGGGCCGCGCCGCCGCACCGCCGAATTCCAGTGAATTCCTGTGCACACGCAGCTCGCCATCGCGCGGACGTCCATTCCCAGTGCATTTCTCGATTTCGCGCGTGCTTTCTGCCAGATGATCCAGGATGCTCTTCGATGGTCCTCGGCCCTCGCCGAGAAAAGCGCACACGTCCGAGCGATGCCAAGGCACAGGGGGCGTCGATTAGTCCCCAGAACTCGGCGCGGGGGTTCACAACGGGTCCTTTTGTCGGCCCGCGCCGCGGCCGTGCGCGGCCCGTCCGCCCTCGCCCCCAGCGGTGTTCTCTTCCTGTCCTCGTCGTTGTCGTCGTCGCCACCACCGCAGCCGCCGCCCCGCCGTCGTCGTCGTTGTCGTCGTCGCCGTCGCCGCCATCGTCGCCGCCGCTGCCACCGCCGTCGTCGTCGTCGTCGTCGTCGTCGTCGTCGTCGTCGTCGTCGTCGCGTCGTCGTCGGCGGCGTCGTCGTCGTTGCCCTCCTTCTCTTCTTCCTCTCCTCCCCCTCCTCCTTCTCCTCCTCCTCCTCCTCATCCTCCTCCGTCTCCTCCTCCGTCTCCTCCTCCGTCTCCTCCTCCTCCTCCTCCGCCTCCTCCTCCTCTCCCCTCTCCTCTCCGCTCCTGCTCCTCCCCCTCCTCCCCCTCCTCCCCCTCTCCCGTCCGCTTCCTGGTGGTGGTGCCGCCACACCTGTGGTCTCGCTACTATTGAAATCTTCGGAGCCCAGCTACTCCTCAGACATACGACGCAGCGTTTTTTTCGAGACGCGGGCCCCAAATGTCAGGATCCTCTCCCCAAGAATCCGGCCCGGCTCTTGACGGCCCCAAGGCTCGGTATGAAGGCCCCTAGAGGCAGAGAATGGGCAAAAGCCTCCCGTCGCCATTGTCCTAGGTTCTCACGACGCGGACCCTCAGAGGTCTAGATCCCTTTCGGGGAGCTACTGACCCGGTTCAATCCAAACCTGGGACAGTCAGGCCTTGTAAGATCCTGCAAGATCCTGCAGGATCGCGCAGGATCCTGCACCCAAGCCCTGGTCACCCCAGGCCCTGCAGGATCCTGCATGATCCGGCACTCTGACTGACTCCGTTTGCCGTTTGAATCGACCTCCGTTTCTTGAGCCCCGACCCTTCCCTAGGAAACCCGAGCCGGCTCTTGACGGCCCGAGCAGGGCCTGACGAAGTTCTCCAGTGGCGGAGAAGTGGCTCCCCATTTCATGGAGTGTACCGCGCTGGAGAAGAGCAACTGACAAAGCCACCGACAGCCCAGGCGGGCCAGGATCGATGGGATCGTGTAGGGGTGCCTGCGCAGGCTCAAGGGGCTGTGCATGGCTTGAGCCTGATCTCGAACCAATGGCTACGGAAACATTTTTCGGTTTCTTGTGTGTGCTTTTGTTGGCCCGATGGTCGAGGATGCCCCTCGATGGTCCTCGCCGAGAAAAAAAGAAAGCACACGTCCGAGCGATGCCAAGCCTCCGCCTTCTCCCCTGAGCACGCCGCCGATCTGCGTTACACGCCCCCCCTCGCCCGCCGCATCCACCGCCCAAGGCACTACAGCGACACCGTGATCGGCCTCGGGTCCCGGACCGCCGCCACCATCGAGAAGCCGGGCCTGTCCGGCAGCCGGGCCTCTGGGGCGTTGCTGACTGGGGGGCGACCTAGGGGGGTCACGAGCGAACAACACACACATGCCCATAGGGGGGTCGGAGGGGGCTATGGGTGCGTGTTGTCGGAGGGGGGTCCCCACTCGAACGGAAGCGCCCCCCAGGGTCCGACAACCCGCACCCATATCCATAGCCAGTCCTCCTCCCCACGACCCCCCTATGTGCATGGGTGTGTTTTTTCGCTCGTCGGGGGGATAGAGGAGACACGTGCACCTTTCGTGCCCATGTTGGGCCCCAGGGGCCATCTCTTGGGAGGCCGACTTTACTTCCGCCGGCTTCCGCCGAGCTTCCGCTGGCGGAGGCGGTATACTTCCGCCGCCTTCCGCTGGCCTTCCGCCGCCTCCCGCCGAAGAAGAGATATCAGCTCCTCCGGTCCACAAAGGCGAGGGAGGCCCTTTCCCGAATGCCTCATCCATTGCCCCCCCATTGCGCAACGCCCGAGCCTCGCGGTGCGACTCGTGCGCTGGGCGCCAGTCCAGCTCGTCCTCCACGACGGACTGCAGCGGCAGCTGCTCGTAGAGCCGCTGCAACGGGCGCCCGTACGCGCTGGGCGCGGGCAGCGGGAGAGGTGCTGGCACGGTGCGCGCCCGGGTGCCCCGACCTCCGGCGATCTGTGGTTTCCCAGCTGGGCGTGTTCTTCTGATTTCGGCCTCTGGAGCACGCTATCGAGACCTCCGCGCAGCCCCCCAAGATGGAGCCGGGCGGAAAACTGCCCCCCCCCCCCCCCCCGGCCCCCTGGGAGAAGGTCGCGGCCTCCGAGGCCGCGCATTGACCAGCAAATGTCGTCGGATGTCTGGGTGTGTCTGGGCGTCCCAGGGGCGTTCGGCGGCAGTGCAGCCGAGTGCTCGTGAGAAGAGGGAGCTCGTCGGGCAATTGAGTTGGGTGGGGGGGGGGCGCCGAGGAGGTGGAGATGAGTCGAAGGCGAAAGAGCGACAGGGCGTGGAAAGGGTGGGGGGATGGAGAGGATGACGAGGGGGAAGGAAGAGATGGGAGCCAAGAGCGAGGAGTGAGGTGGCCGGGGGAGCAGAGGAATGGGGGGATGCCAGGAGAGGGGGTTGCTCCCTCCACCCATCCTGTCCTTCCACCCTTGCTATCCCAATTATGTCGTTCATGCTCTTGACCCCTTCCTCCGGTGATCTCATCTGCTCACTCACCCCTCCCCCTCGTCTCCGTTGTTTCGTTGTTCTGTTCCGAGGTGGAGCTTCAGCGAGTGGCTGGAACTCGTGTCGCAACAACTCGGGCGCCAAGCTGCAGAGATCGGATCCTAATCGTGGCTACGCTTGTTTCCGACCGCTGCAAACCAACACGGAGGCCAACGCCTCATGATCTGCATCGTTCTTCCACCCCTCCCTGCTCCTCATGCTCTACCCCTCCTCCTCCTCCTCCTCCTCCTCCTCCTCCTCCTCCTCCTCCTCCTCTTTCTCCTCCTCCTCCTCCTCCCTCCTTTCGCTCCCCCCTCCTCCATCATCTCCTACCTTCTGCCTCCTCGCTACTCCACCACCTCCTCTCGCTCCTCTTCCCCGTGGTTACCTCCTCCATTCGTCCTTCGCGGGCACTGGCGACGAGACGACGGCACTCACCCCTGCTCCACTCCTCTCTGCCTCCTCATTCGTCCTCCGTCGACACTGACGACGAGACGATGACGTCGCCGCCGGCGCCGTGGACGCCGACGACGGCGTCCGTCAGCGTGATTTTCTCGCGACGTGGGCCTGGGAGCTTTCGACCCAATGCCTCCAGCCATCGTGCTGCGAACCCGAATGCTGACTGGAGAAGGAAGGGGGGTTCCTGGCCACGGGGAGCCTCGGCAACGAACAGGCCTAGCGACCCAGACTTGCGGAGCGGCCCGACAACCAGAACCCATCCTGCGCACATAGATATCCTCGTCTCAACTTCTTGATTGTAGAACGGCCTTGTCGTCGCGGGTGCTTTCTGCTGGCCTGCGATTGCGGGAACGACCAACGAACGCCGAAATGGCGAACAGCAGACCTCGTTGTGTTTCTTCTCGCGGTGCCGAGATTCTGGAGCGGCGGCAAACTGCGACGGCGAGACGAAGACGAAGACGGCTACGATCAACCACTGGAGCTCTCCTGGAGCTGGCGTTCCGAGTGCCGGGTCCCCGTCGCTGGGTTCCGAGCCACCACTTGGCCCCGCTTGGAGCCAGAAGGATCGTCGATAGGTCTCTGGGGACCATCGGGCCCCTCCGAGGAGGCGGCGGAACATCAGGGAGGAAAGGCTTAGGCGGGAAACATCGACGGGGAATCGGCGATGCATTGCCGATATATTGGCAATAGCCCCTGGCGAAACCAGACGCTCCTGGGCGGGGTGGGCAACTGTGCCCCTATCGTCGATCAGTGGGCGATTGGGGCTCGATGCTTCCCCACCCCGGAGCCTATCCCCCCTAACGTCGCCCCCCTGGTTTTCGGGCCACAACTCGTCTTTCTGGCAGCCCCGGAACGCCCTCGGCGAGGCGCAGCTGCTGGAGGCCAGCCCGAGGCTGGCAAACCGCAGAGGAGCGACGAACACGCCCGACACCTCGGACCTCGAACCCCGTTGAGCCCATCCCCCCCCCCCCCCCACGCCCTTTCCGACGTTGCCCCCGGCCCGTGCCCCACGGCCCACCCCCTCGGCGCGCTGGCGCCGGGCGGCCTGCGGGCCGCGCCGCCGCCCCGCCGACGTCCCACGCGCGCAGGGGGGCGGCGATGAGTGGCCCGAGTTCGGCCCGGAAACGTTCGAGAGCCTCGAACCTCGAACCTCGCTGAGCCTCCACGGGCATCTTCCCCCCTAGCGTCGCTCCCCCGAGGAACCTCGAAGGGGGGCGGGGACGCAATGACATTAGAGGAGGCGCCATGAAATCTGGGTAGATCTCACTGTCCCCATCCATGATGTCCCCCCCCCCATGGTCATCACCCCCTGCTCCCGATATCCCCCCCTGAAGGTTGCTCCCCCGAAGAACCTCGGAAGGCGGCGGCGGCGGCGGCTGTGGCGGCGTGGCTCCCAGGCCTGTAGGCGAGCAGCTGGCGCGGCCTGTTCAGCGCCCTGCAGGCCGCGCTGGCGACTCCGGCGGCGACGGTCAGGCCAGCCGCGGTCACGACCAGGGCGCCTTCCAGGGGCGTCTTAGAGATCCTCCTCTAAGACGAAGCCAAGACGAGGATAACATCTGTAGAAAATAACTAAGAATCTCTGAGATTCGGCCGCTCTGAAAGATGTCTCCGGAGCCGCGGCCTTCTCCGAGCGTTCCGGAACGCTCTGAGAGCTTTCCAGAACGCTCTGGAGCTATCCTCGTCCTAGCCCCGTCCGATCCTCCTCAGAGGAACAGGAGGAGGACTACAATAAGGCGCCGTGCCAAATCGTTTCCACTGCAGGCGCGCTCGGGGCCGGAACCGGGTGCAACTCGGTGCATCCTCCACCCTCCTCCTTCCCTTCACATCCTCTTCCCCCTCTCCCTCCGCCTCCTGGAACCTGGAACCTCGTGGCCATCCTTGCCGCCCGTACCCACCGACCAGCGTCGCGAGGACGAGGCCGAGGAGGGAGTAGAGGTCGGGGCCGGAGGGGGAGCACGCTGTTGTATTTGGGTGAAATTGCAGCGGTCCCTAATCCAGTAGTCGTCGCCTCGTGCTCCTCCTCCCCCATCCGCCCTCGGGCGCGTCGTCGTCGTCGTCGTCGCGAAGAAGGAAAATGAGCGCCGTAGTTAAGGCGAAAAGGGCCCCTTCCCATTATCCGTTCCACGCCGGGGGAGGGGAGGAGGGAAGGGGGGCTTGGGTCAGAATACCGCCCTCCTGGGGTCCCATCGGTTCCCGAAGGACGGTTCGCCAGCGGAGATCCCGGGGGAGCTCCCGCCGTCAGGGTCGGCGGCACCGGCCGTACGGCCTTCGCAATCAACTCCATCAGAAATCTGGGGCGCCTCCTCCTGCTTCTCCTCCTCTGTTGGCCTCCCAAGGGGGGCCTAATCGTCGTCACATTTGGACGAGGCTTAGAAGACGGGTCAAGATGGACCCCGCGAGGGGTTGCGGGGACCGGTTTCGAGCAGACTTTAGCCAGAGAGCGTCAACTGTTTCATTACACCGATGAAGGTCGCACACGCGTGCACCGATCTTGGTCATGCCGACCCTAAACCCCGCATTGATAGATGCACGCCCTCTCATTAGCCTGGTCAGGATCCATGTTAGTGAGCAGTTGGCGTCCGAACACATGAGGTCATCGAAAAGCTTCGGCGATTTATTTCTAACATCGTGTGCTTAATGCTATTCGCGTTTGCTCACTAATCTGCGACTCTTCCGCGACCCGGTTGTTGCTACGCAGCGCTTCGTGCCCTGCCTCGCCGCTGACAAATCAAGTGTCAAAGTGTTTCGACTGTTTCCAACACTGCGCTTGGATGTTCATGTGGAGTCCTCTCGAGCCAGATCTCGATCTGTGAGGGTCCAGGGGCGCCCGCCGTGCTTGCTTCCACGACGCCCAACCTGGAGGGGGGACCTTCCTGGAACTGGCCAGGCAGGATCACAAACCCTGCAGGCCTCCTAAATGGGGTCGTGGCTGGAGGATCGCACCGCATCGCCGATCTATCGGTGATGCATCTGCGACGTTGGGAGGGAGAAGATCGGGGTCCAGATCGAGCCGCGTCGCCGATGCATCGGCGACGCGGCACGACCCTACGACCCCGTCTACCAAGGCCCCATTTTGGGGGGCCTGGGCATCAACTGCCACATGCGTCATCCGCTTGCAAAGGAAGCCAGCAGCCACCCCCGCTGGGGGGACAAACAGGTGCCCATGCGGCTGCTCCACGGACCCCACCTGGGGTGCAGTCTGACCAGGATTTCGCAAAGAATCCAGCCGTGGCGACGAGGACTCTCCAGGACCAGCATCCTACACGACCCCATCGGCTGCCGCCGCACGTGCCAAGCGCCTAGAACAAGAGACCAGCGGCCACTCCCCGCGGGATGCGCCTAGCAGCCAGTGCCGCCCGCTGCCGTCCACGACACGAGCGTCGTGCTGCGACGACTCCACGATCACGTTGTCCACCCTGTCCTTTCCCCGTCCGGGCGCGCGGGGAGGGGAAGGAGAGAGGGAACGAGCGGAGGGACGGGGGCGAGGGCGGCGGGGATGACGTTCACAGGTTTTGTGTTCTTGTTATTGTAAAGCTGTGGAATGGCAGAAATGGAACGTTCTTGACGAAACAATCAATAGTATTGGACCTTCCATACCCGCTTGGGCGCTCTCGTCTCGGTGCCAGCTGCATCTCCTGTGAATTTGCAGCATTCGCTCAAGCCTTTCGACGGACCGCCCAAACAGGTCCCCCAACAAGAACAACGCTCTCGCGCGATACTTCCTCACAAGTCACTTCGAGAGGCCCTGGCCAGAGAGGGCCCGAACCTCAGGAAGAGCGCTCTCGCCTGAGAGTTCCTCTCGATTCAGCACCACAAAGGGGGCCTTCAGAGCAGTCTTGCCGCTACTTGCGGATGCCAAAACGGCCGTTTCGAGTGAGAGCCCCCCGCAATGTAGCACCACTGGACGGTCCTTCAGAACCAGGTTGCTGCTACTCGCGGGTGCTGGAACGGCCTTTTCGCCGGACTTCTGCGGAATTGAACACTACCATCGGGGTCCTTCATAACATTCTTGCTGCTGCTCGCGGATGTCGGAACGGCGGCCATGTTGCTGGGCTTCTTCACAATTCAACGGCGCAGAAGAATCCGTCAGAACAGTCTTGCCGCTAGCCGCTACTTGCGTAGGTCCCAGGACGCTTCAGGGAGATGTGTTCGGGGAGCCTTTTTCGGCACCTCCCGCTCCCAGGAGGCCCCAGGAGGCCCCAGGAGGCCCCAGGAGGCATTTTCTGGATTGGAAATATGTGTTCGGGGAGCGCTTCTCGGGCCTCCCGCTCCCAGTAGGCCCCAGGACACCTGTACTGGGATGTTCGAGGAGCGCTTTCCCAGGAGGCCCCAGGAGGCCCCGAGAGGCCTCAGGGGCTCTTGTTTTGGTGTTGGGATATGTGTTCGGGGACTGCGTTCCGCCCCCCCCCCCCCCCCCCCCCCCCCCGCAGGCTTAGCTCCCATCGGCTTCGCCGCCCCCCTCCCGAGGCTCGAATGAGTTGTGTGTGTGTGTGTGCTTGTTCGTCTTCATATAGATGACCCCTCTCATGGCGCTCGAATCCTTAGTGTGTTGCGGCTGTTCCTATAGATGGCTTCTCGACTGGGGCTCGAATCCTTTTATGAATGTTCCTATGTATTGCCCCTCGGCAGGGGCTCGAATCCTTAGTGTTTCACGCATGCTCCTATAGATTGTCCCTCTCCTGGGGCTCGAACCCTTCGTGTTCCGAGTCCCCACCGCTCCCCAAAGTCGCACTGACTGGTCATGTCTCGTGCGAGCTAGAGGTAGAAAAGTGCCTCGGGAGAGCTGTTGGCTCGACGTTCTTGGGCGGGAGGTCTGGGTCTGGAGTATCGGCTCCCTTTTTCATATAGTTCCCCGAAGAGAGGGTGGCATCATGATGGATGCATGTAGCATGTAGAAACATGCCGCGTGAGGGTAAACATGGCAACTGAGTTCTCATGTCTGAAATCCGACCGTCCCGGCATTCCTGTATGCCTACTACGGCATGCTCTCAGAATGCAAGAATGTTCTGAGAACAGAAAACATGTTTTTAGAACACAAAACCAATGTAGTACAACAATACGGCCTCAGCCAGGAATGCTCTAAGACAATTTCGTGCAAGCCACAAGCGGCTCTTAGATTATTTGGTGGGCTTGTAGGCAAGGCAGGACGTTTCGCGACTGTTTGATCGCGGTCGCGTTCGTGCCCCCGGTTGGGCCCCGACCTAAGTTGCAGGGTCCCTGGATGGAGGGACAGAACGAGGCCCATGATCAAGACTGACCGCGAAAACCTCGGTGTCGGTGTTGGTCAACGTCCACCTTGGTCACCGTCAATCTGTGGATCATCCTCGCAAATTGGCGACAACCGGCATTGACCATGACCAAGATTGGCGTCGACAAGATCCCGCGGCAGCAGGTCGTTGTCATCGTGTTCTGGATCCCGTTTCCCAGGACCCGCTTCTCATCCCGAGCCTTTTCGTTGGCCGCCCCTAGGTGTCTGGCCAGGGCGAATGGAGCCCAAGAGTGCACCAGTAACCTTTCGTCGTGACTCGGGGGCAGCACTGCTTCGACCCCCTGGTCCCGTCCTGGTGTGTGCTCTGGCCGGGACTCTGAGGTGGATCTAGCCGTGGCGACCCTGAGGAGGTGGAACAACGCGCAACAAGCTCCCATGAGATCCGAGCGAGACATGCAACGATCGTGGGAAGTCACGATGAGAACTTCAGAACCCAACTTTCTGCCGCACTTCTCGGGCCAGATCGATGTGCGAGGGCCCCGGGGCCCGAACCCGGGCGAGAAGCGCCCGGTGCGCAACAAATGCGACGCCAAGATCTCAAGGCGGATCCTCGAAGTTCGATCCTCCAGGCTTGCAGTCGGGGCCCCGTGCGCGAGGACTTTGATAAAACAAAGACACTGGCGCGCCCGAGACAGCTGCAGCCGTGTGCCGAAACATTCTTCACCCCTTGATTTGCAATGTCCTGGTCTCAAGAGCCCGGATGCTCTCTCCATCGCTCGGACGTCAACTCCCCGTGTATTTTTCAGCTTCGCGCACATATTTTTCGCAAGATGACCTCACATGCTCCTCGATGGCCCTCGCCGAGAAAAAACCGCACACATCTGAGCGATGCCAAGTGCTTGCGGGTCCCAAGCAGGTGCGGTGAGAGACCGTGCGGTAACAGCGGCATCCTCAGGAGAAGCCTCACCGCACGGGCCGTCACCGCACCGTTCTGGGACCTCGGGCACCTTGCCTCGAACAGCGCTCAAATCCCCAAACCGTGCGGCCACCTGCCTCGCCACACGGTGTGGTCACCACACTGCCTGGGGGCCCCAGAGATGCAGGGCAGGGCGGGGCCGGAGGTTTCTCCCCTCGTCGGCTCTCCTGCGCCGCGGGGTGGGGCCCACACCTCGGGAGCGGCCACTCGGGGGCGAGAGCGGGCTCGGGAGGGTCGTCGTCGTCGTCGCCCCCGTCGTCGCCGTCGCCGTCGTCGTCGCCGTGGTCGCTCAAGACCTCGGCTCGCGCCCTCGTCGTCGCCCTCATCGTCGTAGTCGTCGTCGCCGCCGTCATCGTCGTCGTCGTCGTCGTGGTCGTCGTTGCCGTCGCCGTCGCCGACGCCGCCACCGCCGCCGCCGTCGCCGCCGCCGCCGTCGTCGTCGTCGTCGTCGTCGTCGTCGTCGCAGCCGTCACCGTCGTCGTCGTTGTCGTTCTCATCACCGTCGCTCAATGACCTCGGCTCTCCAAGGCCTGGGACCGGCCACTCGTGGGCGAGAGCGGGCTTGGGGAGCGAGGCATAAGCGCTCATTCCCCAGGCAGTGCTTGCACTCAGGGGTTCTGCTGCCTCGGTTACCTCTGGGACTGGATGAGTCTGTCGAAGTTTCGCCACGTTGGCGCCCGTTGCCGCTCGCGGGCGCCTCATGCGCGCATCCCTGTGCTGGGTGGGTGCCTCGAGGCATGGCCACGTTGCCGCCCGTGCCCGCCCGTGGGCGCCTCGTGGGCGCCCCGTAGGCGGCCGCGTAGCTTAGGTCACTGAGCTTGCACCACGTAGCTTGCACTGCACAGCTTGCGCCGCATTCAGACATAGCTGATGCCACATCGCTGACACCGCATGATTTACATCACGTTGCTCACACCACGAAAGGTGCGCCGCCTAGCTTGCACCACATAGTTGACACCACATAGATTGCCCCCCATTGCTTGCCCGCCCTAACTTGTATCACAGTGGTGGCACCACATAGCTGACACCACATATCTGAAACTATCTAGTACGTGTATTGCGCCACATCACTTGCACCAGCTAGCTTGCACCACATAGCTTACGCCACATAGCTTGTACCACACAGCTTGCGCCGCATAGCTCGCACCATGCTCAGTGCACAGCGTATATGGCACCACGTAGTTTACACATCCATAGGGGAACCACTCACTGTTTGGGGTCCACGCTGGCAAACACATATACATAGACGCATGCACATGTATCTATAGATGGTTGTATGGAGGATACTCGTCTGCATGTTTAGACCTACGGGGTGTGCACTGCAATGTACATACCTGCGTGCTTCGTCGGATTATTATTATTATTATTATTATTGTGATTATTGTTATTATTATTATTCGTCTTCGCCGGGCGCAAATATTCGACGAAGGGCATGATCTAGGCTCCCCGCGCCGCGACGAACATAACGGCGGGAGCTCGTTATCCATGGCCTGAGGGGGCCTCGCCGCTGGGGCCGTCAACTGAAAGGCCCAGTACGAGAAGCCGGCACCGGGGAAAAGGTCCAGACCTCCGGGGTCCGCATTGTGGGCAGAATCACTGCGTCGCAGGCCGGGAAAAGAGGGGAGGAGCAGGAGGGAGGGAGAGGAGGGCCAGAAGGAGCGACAGGAGAAAGGGACAATTGGGAGCAGCAGGGGGGTGGGGCGTGTCAGGCCCCGTGCTTCTTCTCCTCAACTTCGATTCTTGTGAAGCATCAAGCCCCTCCCCTGCGCATCGATTCCAGACTGCCCACCAGTGTTTGATCCGGGTCCCTTTGCTTTATTGCCCCCCGCGAAGAAAATAAAACCGGAAAACATAATCCCTGATGGGGTGACCCCTGGTGGGGCCTGTCGTGATCTAAACCAGCGTATTCACCGAAACGCGGGCGTGGCCACGCGGCGTCGTCCGGTTTTTGTTGGTAGCCGCTTGGGAACACAAGAACGAGCCCACGCTCTTTTAAGGCACAAGCTCTTTGGCATTGCCGTTTCGAACGGGCTGCGCCGTGCCGCCCCCGCAGTGTGGACAACAGCTGAAGCACTTGTTATTTCTGAGTGCTGAGGCCTTCAAACAAGAAAGGATGCATGTCTGGCCTGCTTGGATCGCACGCCGCTTTCGACACATTGACGGGGATTTCTGCTCATTCTTCCCAACAGCCCCGCCCTCGGTCGTTCGCCACTGCCAGCTTCCCCACCGCAGGGAACGGCGGTGGGGGGGCGGCTGCACAGCCGTGCAGACGGGCCAGGGAGCAGCAGCAAGCGCAGGGGGAGGGAGGGACGGTCTGCGACGCCCCTCGTCCTCCTCCTCCTCCTCCTCCTCCTCCTCCTCCTCGTCCTCCTCCTCCTCCTCCTCCTCCTGCTCTTCCTCCACCGCCACCCACCCGGCCCCTGTGGAAGGCTAGTGTCGTGACGACCAGGGCACAGGTTTCCGACCCCGCGCGGATCGACCAACCTCGAGCAGATCGTGGCTGTCCGATGGCGCAGATCCTTCCACATCGGCCGGCTCTGGATCACTGGCGGCGCTCAACGATGGCCTCCAGAGCGCCTCTCAGGAGGCCCAGAGGGCCCTGGAGGCCCCAAAATGGAGCGAAAAGCTGGGGCTGGGACAACGTCTAGCAACACCCGAAACACTGGACGCCCTCGCTCGCGGTCGCCGCCGCGTCGACACGACACGGACCTGCCCATTCCAGACCGAGCCGCAGCACGGGGGCGGACTGCGGGCGGCGGCACTGGCGGGTCCGCTGAGGTGCCCGCCAGGTCCCTCCGCACTGCCGGCAGCGGTCCAGCGACGGACCGCACCAATTGGACGGCCCCGAGCGCGCCCCGGGCCAGCAGGTGCCGCACGTGTCAGCACCTCGGCCCCGAGAGAGCAAATGCACTCTAAGAGCATCCGATCGAGGGTTGTGAACCTGGATGCGGAAGGAAACAGACTATCCACAGACAGCCACACCACTTCACTGAAACATCACCAGGACCAGAATGCCGTTGGTGGTGAAGTGGCCGCCGGAAAACCGAGGCAGTTCGAAGCAAAGGTTCCGTTCCTCTTCCCTTCTCCACCACCTACATCTCCTCACTGCGACGGGGGGGCCGCGTTGCGAGAAAATCACAACGTCGGAGGTCTTGAGCGGAGGCGGATGAGGTCACAGAGTGAGGAAGAGGAGCAAGAGAGGGAGAGGAGGCGGAGGAGGCGAGGAGGAAAGGGAAACCCGAGGCCCCCCCCCCCTAACCTCCCACATGCCCCCCCAAACGCCCTACAACCCCTCCAGATCCCCCAGCCTTCCCTTCCCCTCCCTTCTCTTGCTCCTCTGGTTCCTCCTCCTCCTCCTCCTCCACCTCCCCTCCCTCCCCAAATCCGTCGGAATATTCGAGAGAGGCTTTTCCCTGTGCTCGCGAGCAAACCGAACATTACACGCTTGCCCGCTTAAGCGGGCAAGTGCCGCCCCGTGTCTCCGCGGGCCTGCTCCAGAAGAACGGATCGCGCGTGTGCAGGTGCACCTGCGGCGAAGATGCAATCAGGCATCATTCTGTGTGCTGGCGTGTACCGTCGGACCCAGGACAGAAGAACATCCCTGAAGAACATGAGACCCTCCGCTGGCCCAAACACCCCGAACTATAAGATGGTTCGAGGGTGCCCTCCTCCAGGATGCACAAGAACATGAGACAATGGCGAAGAATACTAGGGTACCCTTCCCGAGCCGACCTCGATCTTATACCTCGGTCCGACCGTATTGGACTTGTCCTCTCAATGTCTACGACTTCCTCCCCATGGCGATGTTCAAGAACGCCGGCGCTCTTTTCTCCACCTCGACGGCGCTTCCCACAGGGTGCGGACGCGACACCGACTTTCAATTCCCTGCGAGCCGCAGCGGCCTGCCGAGCCTCTGGTGGCCGCGGCGGCCGCGGTGAGAGCTGCTACAGGCGCCGCGGGGCTTCCAGACCGAGGTTGGCCACCACGTGAGACGCCACCCGTCCCTCAGAAGCCCTGTGAACCGCAGCAGCATGCCGAGCCTCTGGTGGCCGTGGCGGCCGCGGTGGGAGCTGCTCTTGGGCCCTGCGGGGCTTCCGGACCGAGGTTGGCAGCCGCGCGAGATACCACGCACCCCCTGAGCTCCCTCCTCTCCTCTGTTTCTCTCTCTCTCTCTCTCTCTCTCCCCCCTCGCTTGCTCTCGCCTCTTCAGATCCCCAGACCTCCCCGACATCCGACGCCGTGGCCTTTTCGCAGCGTGGGCCGCCGCGGGTCTGGACCCCTTCCCCGGGGGCCGTCTTCTCCATCCCGAGCTGCTTTGTTGACGGTCCTGGGGCCCATTGAGGGCCCTCAAGGGCCGAAACTGAGCATACGAAACGAAAAACGAAAAACAAACCTGAGTTCCGCGAAAAACGAACAACGTAACACAAACGAAGAACTAGGTACGAAACGAAAAACGAAAAACACGAAATACGAATACGAAATGACCTCCCGTCCTTTTTCCAAGCGAAATGTAAACCTGGGTTCCCTGTGGGTCGGCACGCAGGGGGCGCGCGTGGGGCGCGCTCTCTGCGCGGAAAGTTTGCGCGCGCATGCACGGCCTGCCTCATCTGCCGCTCCCCGTGAGACTCGAGACAAAATCGAGACAAAATCGGGCCGATATCGGTCGGAAGTCTCTGAGAATCGGAGGCTTTGGAGAATGATGTGTTGGGCGCCGCGGCCGTTTCAGAGCGCTCCGGAACGCTCTGAACGCGCTCTGGAACGCTCTGGGGCGGATTCCATTCTCGATTTGGGCCCGTCTGACCCCGCCCAGGGCGCCGCCTCGAGCCCGCGCTGTGGATTTCGTTCGGCCGCCTCCAACGCAGATAAAGGTGCGTGCAGATCGACCGCGCCATGGCCCCGTGCTCTCCTCCGCTCCTCCTGCCCTCCCCCCCCCGCCCGCCCGAATCTCCCCTCCCCCTGGTCGTAGCGAGGAGTGGGTCCTGAGGGACACGGGTCCTGGACCTTCTAGGGCAAATATGTTCGCGCTTCACGCTCTGCGAAGCGCGAAGCTTTCACGCAGCCCCCCCCCCCCCCCCAGAACAGGACGAGGGACTCGCGCCTCGCTCTGAATCGCCCAGACCGCGTCGCGCGACTAATTTCGCACCCTCGCGGTGGCCCTAGGACATGGGCCCTGGATCTTGGGGCTTTCCCCCATGGCCAGCTCATCATCCTGAGCTGTATTTTTACGGCGCAGGGGCCCAGGGAGGGTCCCAGGAGCGCGAAAACGATGGACAAACCTAGGACCCCTTTCTCTCAGGATCCTTTCGCTTCATACCATGGTGCCGGGGGTTGTGACAACCGCCCGTGGGAGAGGCGGCGTGACGCTCTCCCCCAGGACCAGCCCATCATCCTGAGCTGGCTTTTGACGGCACTGGGGCCGGGAGAGGGTCCCTGGAGCGCGATAAGGGCGACCAGAACTCCAAGACCCATTTCCCTCAGGACTCCTTCCCTTCATGACGACCTTCTGCCTCTCTGCAGCGCCCAGGATGGTAACAACCACATCAGGTGAATCCAGCCACTGGGGCCTTCGATGGAGCTCCCCATGGGTCCACGAAACGTGTGAGGGGTCTGCCAACATGCAGCGGGCCACCATGTGAACTGGCCACTTGGGCCTGCGGTGGAGCTCCCTATAGGGCCACGAATCGTGTGAGGGCTCTGCCGAAAGGGGGCCGTGCCAGTGGCGGCGGGACCGCCACTGGACCGTGCCGATCGCGCTGGACCGTGCCCGACGCCGACGGCCGACGGCCAAGAGGCAAGGCAGCGGCGGGAGCGCCCGCGGGAGCTGCACGCAGCAAAGGCGCCGCGCAGTGGTGGTCTGAGGCGTCGCCCTCTGTCTGTCTGTCCGTCTCTCTTTCTTTCTCGCTCTCTCTCTCTCTCTCTCTTTTGTTCTCTCTCTCTCTCTTTTTTTTTTTCTCTCTCTCTCTCTCTCTCTCTCTCTCCACATATCGGAGGTTGGGGGGTGAGATCGCAGTGAAACCAAGACCCCCCACTGGAAAATCGGTTTCGGTTTCGTGTTCGTGTCGTGCGTGCGGGCGAGGCGAAGCTGCGCGTGATCCTCGTGTAGCTAGGCCGAAGTAGGAGCGAAAGTCCGTTCCCCGTCCGCCGGTGGCTGGGAGGCGTCCCACTTGGGCCGGGCGGTGTCCCAGGTGTCCCGGGTGTCAGTAGGAGCGAAAGTCAGTTTCCCGTCCGCCGGTGGCCGGGAGGTGTCCCAAATGGGCCGGGCGGTGTCCCGGGTGTCCCGGGCGTCCCGGCGGTAACGCATGTCGCTAATTTCATAATTCATGTTTTCGGCGTCTGCGGCGGGCTTTCTTATCCAATCCAGCTTATCTTATCCAATCCATATTGTCCAATCCAATCCATCATATCTTATCCAACCCATCTTGTCCCATCTTATCTTTTCCCACTCAATCCAATCCACCCAACCCAATCCATCAATTAATTTGCTTCTGCGCCTGCGGTGGGCCAATACAATCCATCTTATCTGATCCCATCCATTTCTTCCAATACAACCAATCTTATCGTATCCAATCCATCTTATCCCATCCAATCCAATCCACCCAACCCAATCCATCAATTCATTTTTGTCGGCGCCTGCAGCGGGCGTTCTTATCCAATGTCATCGTCATCGCGATCATCATCGTGGTGGAGGGAGACTCTGATAGAGAGGGAGAGAGAGAGAGGGCGAGAGAGAGAGAGAGAGACACGGATAGAGAGAGAGAGAGAGAGACAGAGACAGAGAGAAAGAGAGAGATGAGATCAAGGTGACAGGCTGGAGGTTTGTCAGGGTGGGCATTTGATCTCAATCCCCCCCAAACCTCCTTATCGCCCGCAGGGCGGTCGTATAGGTATATAATATCTCTGTGCTTTGGCGGTCCCGCCCAGCGCGTTGGTGCTGGGAAGGAACCGGCAGTGCTTACGCCCTCTCTTCTTCCTCCCCTCGGGCTGAAAGAATCGGAGTCCTGGGCTGGACGCTGCCATCCCCTCCCCTCAGGGGCCGTCGCCTCTAGGGGGGGGATCAAATCAGAGCGTGTGGCAAAATGGGAAGCTGCGAAGGACGCGAGAGGCAGTGGGGATTTCGACCCCCCCAGGGGGCGAAGTATCCATGTCCCCTGGCGCCCTTGGGGGTGGGGAGGGGAGAAGTGGAGAAGGACGCCTCCTCCCTCCTCCTCCCTCCTCCCTCCTCCTCCTCCTCCTCCTTCTTCCTCCTCCTCCTCCTCCTCCTGCATCGCCGTTCTCCCGCGAGCCGCGGCGCCGTGGCCGGGCTCGCCCGTTGCATGCTGGCCAGCTCGCCGCTCCCCGATCCTGTTGGGCACGCCGCCCCCCTCCTCTTCGGGGGGGCGCGCAGACATGGATTAGCGATCCAAGGCTTTGGCGCGCGGTCGCCAAATCCATGGATCGGGGGAGATGCCCTCCCCAAAATGCGGCCGGTGCCGCCTCGTTCGGCGGCGGAACTCGCGATTCCCGAGGAAAACGGGACCCGTCGCTGATCCACGCCCCCTTACTGTAATCCATGTTTGCGATCGCCTGGCTTTTCCCCCCTGCACCTCATCCCTTCTCCTCCGCCTACTCCCCCCCCCTCCTCCTCATTCTCCTGCCTGCCTAAGTGCCTCCCTTCCCACGAGGGGGGAGGAGAAAGACCCCCTTCCCCCAGGCTGGATGCCTCCCCATGCCATCATCCTCTGACGACGACGGGGCGAGGACGACGAAGAAAACAACGACGATGACGACGACGGTCGACACCAGCCACACGGATGGAGTGTACGGATGCACGATGCCTCGAAGGCGCCAAGTCAGGGGTAACTCTTGACCGAGGAGGCAGTGACAAGCATGCCCAGAAACGAAGGACCTATGCCTCCGACCAGGGCACAGCGAATAGTGGCCAAACCTCCCGTGGTGTCTTTTCTCGAGACGCGAGGGGGTCTGGGTCGGAGGATCAAAGAGCTGCCCTCAGGACTCTCCTGGGGTGCGTTCTGGCCAAAGTCTCAGGGCGACTCCAGCAGTGGCGACAAAGAGGCTCCCAGGAGGCTCAAACACAGCGTCGACCCTCGAAGGGGCCCCCGTGCCTCAAAGGCCGCATTCTTGTCCACGGCGCTGCGACCGCCCAGCCACGGCCGGCCGTCGCCGCCGCCCCCGCCGCCGCCGCCCCCGCCGACGTCGACGTCGACGTCGACGTCGTCGTCGTCGTCGTCGTCTTTCCCACGGCGCTGCCACTGCCTCGCCCTGGCCGGCCGGCGGGCGGGTGCGTACGGCTCGGCTGGCCGAGGCCCGCGCTGTCCGAGGCCGCGGTGCAGCAGAAGCCGTGGCCTCCTGGCCGGGGGCCCAGACCGGGGGAGGGGCGCGTCAAGCGGACCACCTCGCCAGCGACCCGGCCAAGCCCCTCCTGGGCCCAATATCGGCGCCTCTACGGTCGGACCTAAAGACAACCCGAATCCCGAACCGGAAGGATGTGCGGTACGGGTGCAAGGGCCCTGGAAGGCCATGTCAACACTTTACGGGCGGGGCGCGGCCAGCGAAAGAGGCCGGGGATGGGCCAAAGCGGGGTATGTAAGGGTAGCCTTGGAAAGTTGCTTAGTCTTGCTATATGGATTGACTGTAGGAGAGAAGACCATCCTTCACGAACATGGGACCCTCCTTCCGAACATGGGACCCTCCTCCAGGATGCACAAGAACACCCAACAAACACGATGAACTCTAGGGCATCCTCCCCCAGCCGACCTCGATCTTGCACCTCCGTCCGACCGTACGCCCTCCTGGCCTGGGTAGACAACGATCCTGGGCCCAGGCCTGGCCGGGACTGGTAAGGCTGTCGGTTGGCTTCTCCCGATCGGATGCGAGCCGCCGCCGCTGGCGTGGTCGCCGCTTTGCCGCCGACTTCGTCGCTGCCGTCGCAGTCGTGGTCGTCGCGGTCGTCGTCGTCGTCGTCGTCGTCGTCGTCGTCGTCGTCGTCGTCGTCGTCGTCGTCGTCGTCGTCCGTAGGCGTGTTGCTTGGGTCCCCTCTCGTGTCCTCCGGGTGCCTCAAGAGAGCTCTGGGGGCGGTGGTCGTCGTCGTCACCGTCGCCGTCGCCGTCGCCTTCGCCGTCGCCGTCCTCGTCGTCGTGGTCGTGGTCAGAGTGGTTTGTTCGTCGCCGTCCTCGTCGTGGTCGCCATCGTCGTCGATCGTCATTGTCGTTGCTCGTCGTCGTCGTCGTCGTGGAGGGCGTCGTCGCTCTGGCCGTGTTCGTCTTTGTTCTCGTCGTCGTGGGTCGTGGTCATGGTCGGCCTGAGGCGAGCGGTGGATCGTGCGATCGAGAGATGCCTCTCGTCCGGGACTGGTCGTTTCATGTAGAGGTTAGGCGGTGCCCAGACCTCCAGGCACCACGAACTAACATCCTGCCACGTATTCTCCAACATTTCAGCATTCGATGTCTGCTTTCGGGCACTGTGGCCATCAAGTGAAGGTACGTGACCACAATTCGGCCCTGTTGGTGGAATCGAAAGCTCTGGGGGCCCGCGTAGTGAAAGCCACGTAGAGGTGGTCAAGGTGGATTGGACCGTTGGATGATCGATTGCTTTGTTGTCGTGCTGGCTGGTGGTTGCTTAATCGATTGAATGATTGATGAATTGGCTGGCTGGTCGGCGGACTGGCTAGTTGGTTGGTCACTTTGCTGCTTTCTTGGTTGCCTGTTAGATTGGATTGCTGTGATGGTTCTCTTCATTGATTTGAGCGGTTCGGTGGATCGGTAGCTTTAGCGTTTGCACCCCTGCCCGACTGCTCACTTGCCTTCCTGCGATGAGAGGGCAGGCGCACCATACGCGAAGGAGGAGAAGAAGGAAGGACACGTCCCTTGAAGGCGCTCGGCGCTGCCGCCTGAGCTCGACGGACGCCTGCCGACAGACCAGAGCTTAGCTGCCCCGATACGCAGCACGCAACACGTAGCGTGTTGGCACGGAGCGCAACACGTAGACAGAATACGTACGTTGAGCCAACACGGAGAGCCAACATGCAACGCGTCAACACGGACGTCTTGAACACGGTACGTATTGCGTTTCAAGACGGGCGCATCAGGGCAACTAAGATAACGTCCCTCGAGGGCGCTCAGCGCTGCCGCCTGGGCTCGACGGACGCCGGCCGACAGACTGGAGATCTCACCCTCGAGGCGGCGAGTCGAGCACATCGCTCGTCTTCGCCGCCAGGCGCGGGCCCAGGCACACAGGCTCCGCCAGCGTAGCAGCGTGCTGGAGCCTCTGGCGCTGAGGCGCGGTGCCCGCGAGCGGCTCTCGCGGCGGGTCGGCGTACTCGGCGCGGGCCACTGCCCACTCTGGCGGGGCGAGCCAGGACGCCAGCGGCGCAGCCGTGGCGCATTCTTGCTGGCGGCGTGCAGGAGAGAGCAGGGCGGGGGGGGGGAGCGCCCCTCTAAGGAAGAGGGCGCCCCGCCTCTTGGAAGGCCTCCAGCTTTCTGGGAGGCCTTCCCGCACGCCTCTGAGGGGCAGGTCCCGTTTGAGAAGCCCCCCGTCTTCTTAGGGGGCCGCCCCATCGCCCAGCCCCTCTGGCGCGCCGCCAAGCTAGGCCTGAGGAAGGATGCGGGATTCTAAAGCTCGTGCACGTCGAAGAGCCAGCTCCGTCGGATCTCACCGGGGAGCGATGCGCTGGCAAGGCTCCGCCGCCGCTGGACGCCCTCGACAAGGAGAGCACCGCTCTCTCGTGAGCCTGCACAGGCCGCTGTGCCTCAGCTGCCGTGGGGATGTCTGCAGCAGGGCGTGCTGCCGGCAGGTCTGCGCTGACGGGCTCCCGGTGCGGGCGCGCGGGAAGCGGCCAGACCACCTGGATCGAGTGGCGAGGAGCTCGGCCTGGCGCGGCCGCCTGCCCGCTGCGGCGGCGCTCCGGGGTCGTCTCGGAGGATCCCCGGCGCGCCCGCGGGTCCGCCGCATCGTGCGCCCTGGCGCACGGCTCTGCCGCACTTCTTCTGGTCGGCGGCACGCGGGAGCGACCCTGGGCAAGCGGGGCCTCCAGTGCGCGGCTGTCGATGGGCCGCGGCGGGGTCAACTCCGAGCACGCAGGCCAGTGCTGGGGATGAGCATCACCTCACTGATCCCTATTCCCATGGACGTGGCCCAGGCCCCACTGGCCGATGTACCCCTCTAGATGGGAATCTGAGCCGTTTCCTTCGGGTTTCCAAGGGTAACATCCCCAACTGGGGTGGTACAGTGGTGAGGGTCTGGATGGGGATGGGGATTGGGTCAGGGGTCGGTCGCTCGATACTGAGCTGGGGTGGGGGGCCCTGTGGGCCCGCACCAAGAGCTCGCAATGTCGCAGGGTCACCCTTGTTCGCCGCCGACTCTGGAGCCTGACACGTCAGTGACAGGTGTCTCGGGCATCGTGATGTCCGCGGAGAGCTCCAGCTCGGCGGCGTGCGGAAAGACGACGGGGCCCTCGTGCCTGCTCGCCGGCATGGGGGGGTCGTCGACCGACGGTAGCCTCGCGGACGGTGGCGGCAGCAGCTCTGACAGTGGCGGCGAGGAGTAGACCTCCATGGCGCGGAGCTGCGCCTGGAGCTGCGAGATCTCCTGCTCGTCCCGCAGCCTCGCCATGCGCTCGAGGGAGAGCTCGCCCCGCAATGCCTCGGCCTGCGCGCACTCCCGCCGTCGCGCGAGCTCCGCCTCGGACACCAAGCTGGCCCACTCAGTGGTCTCCTCGAGCAGACACCGCTCCCACTCCTCGGCCTGGTGGGCGAGCTGCTCGCCGTGGAGCTCCCGCATGGCCCTCTGCAGCGAATCTTGCCTCCCGAGGTGGTGCTGCTGGAGCTCCTCCATGCCCTCCTGCAGTCTCCGCACCACGGCAGCCTCCTGCACCTCCTCGAGCTCCGCCCGGGAAGTGGCGCTGATCAGCTCCGCGGCGTGCGCGGCTGCGTGCGCCTGCGCCGCCCTCTTCGGGAACGCACCAACCCGGGTCAGCGCAAACCTGGATCAGCCAGGGCCCTGTCGCGAAACCAGGCCGGCCGACCAGTAGCTCCGAAACCCTGGCCAGCCGAGGGCTGACAGGGGGAATCGGCCCCGCGCGGCACCCAAACCCGGGTCAGCCAGAGGGGCTTGGCTGACCCCCGTCAGCGCTGACCCCCGTTAATTACGTGAACCCCGACCTTTCGGAACTCTCCCTCTCCCGCAGCTCCCCCAACAGGCGGCCGCAGCGCTCGGCCGCGCCGGCCTCTTCCCGCAGCTCATCGCACAGCCCCCGCTCGCGCATGCGGCGCGACTCCTCCTCGGCGCGGCGCCGCTCCTGGCCCTCCGCGCGCTGGCTCCAGAGCTCACTGCCCATGGCCAAGACCCTGGCGCGCAGGCGGCCCACCGCCAGGTGCGTCCCTGCGGCCTGCGCAGCCGCCAGCAACCCGGCGGCCAGGGCGCGCCACTGCCAGGCCACGTCGCGTGCCTGTAACTCGCCGCGCAACTTCTCCCGCAGCCGGGCCGCGGCCTCCTCGGCGCGCGCCCCGCGCGACGCCGTGGCGGCCGCCTCGGCCTCGACGCTCCGGGCCTTCGCCTCGAGCTCGCCGCTCCGGAAGTGGTGCTCCTCCTCTGCGCGCACGTGCGCCAGCTGCGCCGCGCGCGCGGTAGCGCTGGTCGCGTCCGCCGCGGCCCGCGCCTCCCCGTGCGCGTCGGCCGCCGCGAGGTGCCTCTCCCAGGCGGCGTCCCGCGCCCGCAGCTCCTGCTGCAGCTCCTGTCGGCGGCGCGCGGGGGAGGGGGGGGGCAGGAGGGAGGCGGCCTGCGAGGAGGGGCGGGTCTTGCAAGCCGGAGGGCCTCCTAGGAACGCCGTGGATGCTCGGAGCCCGGGAGGAGGAGGAGGAGGAGGAGGAGGAGGAGGAGGAGGAGGAGGAGGAGGAGGAGGAGGAGGAGAAGGAGGAGGAGGAGGAGGAGGAGGAGGAGGATGAGGGGAAAGAGGAGGGGAAGAGGAGGAAGAGGAAGAGGAGGAGGAGGCAGGTGGCAGGAAAAATAAGGGATTCTGATGATGGTGACGGTGGTGATGATGAAGAAGATGGTTGCGATGCTGATGAGGATGGCGATGATGCTGATGACGATGACGATGCTGATGCTGATGCTGATGCTGATGATGATGTGGATGACGGTAATGATGCTGATGCTGATGCTGATGACGACGCTGGCGGTACTGGTGATGGTGATGGCGATTCGTTCGTTGAGCCCCATGTGAACCCCCTCCAGAACGCGCGCAAGGCCATGAAGTGGAAGTCCCGGAAATTGGGCCAGTGGGCCACCACAAGCCTTCGGCCAACAAGCTCTGTGTCTTAAAGAAGCCACACAAGCATGTACAACATAGAGAGCGTCGGGCTCATGGCACTGCTCCCCTGAGCGCAACACATTCCATAGAGTCAAGAGGCCCCAAGAAGGGAAAGGCGCTCGGGGCTCTCGAGGACTGACCTCAAGGCGTCGCTCACGTCATGCGAGGTAAACAGCACACCAGCGAAGCTAAGCATGACTGGCATTAGATGACATCGATACCCTTCTTGCGCAACATTTCCAGGAACGGCGAGGACGACACCGCTGCGATGCTCACCCCCCGTGATGTGATAGATGTCGTTCTGTCCCCTCCTTCATACGGCCGATGTACTCCGTCAGGCTGATCGTCTGTGTAGGTATGGGTGGTGGTGTGGTAACACGGTTGGTGGCATCCTCGTGCACGCCCAAATTGAAGCACTTCCTAATATGCTCGTAGAACTTCTACTGGTCATCCTTCTTCACGGCAGTCTCCGCTAATACCTCGAGGCACTTCTTGACGAGGCTCTTCGTGATCACGCGCAGGATCGTGTTCTTGTGCAGTGTCTCATGGACGATGTTCAGCGGCAGGTCCTCGGACACATCCGCGCCCTTCACGAAATTGAGTTTCTCGGGCATCAGATCGCCGCAATCGTCCATGACGAAGACGCGTCGTACGTACAGTTTGATGTTGTTGCGCTTCTTCATGGACTCGGAAAGGTAGCATGGTGCCCGGCGCGGCAGGATGATGATGGCGGTGATGATGCTGCTGGTGCTGGTGATGATGATGATGATCATGATGATGCTGGTGATGATGATGATGATGATGATGATGATGATGATGATGATGATGATGATGATGATCATGACGATGATGCGGCTGATGATGATGCATATGATGATGATGATGATGATGATGGTGGTGATGATGATGATGATGATGATGATGATGATGCTGATGATGATGATGGCGATGCTGATGCTGCTGGTAATGATGCATATGATGATGCTGCTGCTGATGATGCTGATGCTGATGCTGCTGCTGATGATGATGCTGCTGATAATGAGGAAAAGAGGATGACGACGACGACGAGGAGGGGAAGGCGTCTCCGAACCCTGGAGGGCCTGTTGTCAGAGGCCGTCTGTCCTCTTCGATCCTCACCCTCGCCCTCTTAAAAGGCCGCACTCCTCGCCGCCACCCCCCTTGCGCGCGCTGTCACTGCTGGGCTGCAGAGTGGACCTGCGGCGACGTGGGGAGCCTACCGCACAGCACATCGCACCATACAGCAGCGGCAAAGGCAGAACCGAGGGCACGTTGATCTGAACTGACGCCTTTTGCGCCAGGGGCGTCTCGTTTCAAACGACGCCGCCACAACAAGGGCGCAACCCGAACCGTGCGCTTTCGTGGTTGTTCACCGCCAGGGCCACCGCTGTTCGATTGGGTTGGTGCTAAACCGGAAAAGAACCAGCGAACAACACCACAAGGACCCCCAACACTGCCCTCCGCGGCCTCCTTTTTGTGCAACACTGGTTGGGGTATCGCGGAGGTTTGGGGCGAACCGACAAAACCCCAGGGCGCAGACGGGCACAGCCTTGCCTTGCACCCAGCAGGGTTGGTACCACCTCGTCTCATAGTCTCACCGCCAACCTGAGCAGTGTTGCAGTTGCTGTCGCCACGATCGCACTCTCGCATCGCCACTCTTGCCACCAACATGAAACCGCGCAACCAACACTTTTTTGGACCGGTTACGGGTCAGGGGAGGCGGGGGGACGCCAACGCAGCAACTATCTGCCCCTCAGTGCACCGCCACGGGAGGGCGCAAACCCTCCTTTTTCCAGTGGGAATCTCTGGGTGGCTACCAGTCGCACCCGTGGGAAGCCTTCGCCTGCCTCGGCGGGTGGTGTTTCCACGGCAGCAAGTGGGGGCTGTTCTTCCTGGGATCCCCTGTGGAGGAAGAGGGAGGCCTTTGCGCCACACGACCTCTGGCGAGTGTGGCCCGGCCACGCAGGCCACGAGTGCGTGGCCTGGACACGGAGGCCACCGCCGCGTCACCGCATTCCTACAACATTGCCTGCCTGCCTCTCCGCTGCCGCGTGCCATCTCGCTGGATTCCTACAGCATCGAATGCAGTCGCGTCGAACCGAGAGTCCACTTCTTCTTCCTCCCCCGTATGGTTGATTCATACATTCCGCTCCGTCTCTCTCTGTCTCTTTTTGTGCATTTGCGATCAGCCCAGCTGGCGATGACCTTCGCCAAGCTCACTAGTTTGATCATCCCCCACAGGTACGACGCGCCCTACGGGCGGATGGCTACGTCGGAGGACTTTCTTGCCGCCAGGGTCTCAGGGTCTCAAGAGCAGGAGGTCAAAGGAGGAGGAGGAGGAAGAGGAGAAAGGATAATCACCTATAATTGCTGGGTTTGCAAACTGTACGAGACAAAGCATGGTGGCAATCAGATGTACAGTGCGGGGCTGCTGCTCTTCACGCACTAAGCAGATATGCATCGACGCTCGGGCCAAACAGCGGCGACATTTCCTATTTGAGTCGGGATTGCGCGGGCGATCGAACAGCTTTGGCGGAAAAGAGAGACCACAGGAAAAAAGGGAACAGGAACTCTCCAATCACAAGCACATTCTGGACTCGGCAGGGATAAATCGCCTTTTCTGACCTGACGGGCGCGCGCTTGGGGCGCGAGCTCATCGACTGTGCTGGCGAGCTCTCTCGTGTTCTTAAGAGCGGCGCTGGGGGAGCTCACGTGTGTGAGCGATGATGGTGTTAGTGGCCATGTACCGAATTATGTGACGTTGGTGACCTCGGGCCGCAGACACGGCGCCTGAAAACCTGTCCTGCGACTTAGGCAAGATGACGGCCCCAGGGTCATGTTAGTGGCGAAGTGGAGGTGTAGTGCCTTGACCTGGTAGGTGGGAGAACCTTGAGGGATCTGCTCGCTATTTTGGCACGATCCCCTCACGATCCGCTGGACACGCTCCGATCACGACCACCGTAGGCGACATCGCACGCTGGGCGTTCTGGGCTCGGCGCTGCCCCTGGGCGAGAGCGGCTGCCATGGCTCGTCGGCGCTAGCCGCGCGAAGGGCCGCGCCGGCGCGCCGGCGCTCACTTTTCTCACCAGCCCTGCGGGTCCTCTTCTTCTTCGTCTTCTTCTTCTTCTTGGGAAGGTCGGCCGCGTTGTCTGGCGCGGGCTCGCTCTTGTCGTCGTTCTTGCCCTTGCCCTTGCCGACTATCACCGCGGCGTGCCCTCGGGAGCCAATGGGCGCCGTGGTTCCGGCCCTTGTCCAAAACCTGCGCGGAGCCGGCGGACAGGGCAACGTCGGTCTCCAGCTCGCCTGCTCGCGCTGGCCTCGTCGCATCCAGCCTCGCTGGATGGCGACTGGGGCTGGCCCTCTCGCGAGGGGTGGCGATGAGGTGGAGCGCGCGGCGCGGGCCAGCCCGAAGGTGGAGGGGGGCGCCTTGCGCGTGGCGACAGCCCCGCTGACCGCCCACGGCCAGGCGGGCGGCTCATGGGCGAGGGCATGCCGAGCGATGCGCCGTCGAGCTCGGCCAGCGGATCCTCGCCGAATCCGGGCCAGGACCCCGCGTTCGTCGGCGTCACGTAACGCCTGCATTCGTTTCGCTGCTGGGGGCTCCACGAACCCCTCCAATGGAGGTAGAGCTTCGTCGTGAACATCGCGAGCGCGATGCTCAGCGGGACTTTTCGCATACGTGGGCCTCGGATCACTTGTCCAGCCGTGGATTCTTCGCGCGTCGAGGGTGAATCCTGCGCGGGATCCAGGGTCCATCGCGTTGACGCTGAACAAACTGCGACGGAGTCATTACCTGCTCAAGCACCGTATCCGCGCGGTGCCAACTGCGACCGAAGTTCGCAATCTCGCCGTCGAGCTGGGCGAACGGCCGAGCATTCTCCGAGAGCGCCGTGGCCAGCGCATCTGGGGGAGGTGGCGCACTTGGCGGGGTCGGTGTCATCGCGGGCGCCCTACTGGTCGGCGCCATCCGCGAGTGAGACGCGGCTTCCGCGCGGCACCTGCGCAGGGATGGCGGGCGCGACAGGGGGCGGGAAGCCCTTGAGCCTGAGCGCGGCCGCGTGAAAGAGGCGCCGTTAGTGCCGCGCGTCTCGTCTCGTTGGACTGCTGCGCCGATGATTCCACATGGCGACCTTGGGGCCTGCGTGGCGGCGGCGTCATCGGAGGCGCGCCGGAAGGCGGGTCGTCGCCGGCGGCCCCGATGGGCCGTCGACGCTCGCCCAGAGAGGGCGTCGGAGACCGAGCCAGCGGCGGGGCTCGGCCTGCAGCCGCGTCGAGCGCCAAGTCTTCCGACGACGCTACTCCCACCGTGGAAGAAAAGGAAGACGAAGGCGCGGGGCGCGAGCGGCAATGCGGCGGCGAACCCGGGGGCTCCACTGGCTTGCTCTGAAGCGTGGTATCACGCGCGC